CCACTCACCCTTTTCCTTGTTGAGCCACCGGATGAAGCGGCCGTAACTCTGGGGCTTCAGCAGCAGCTCCTTGAGAAACTGCCACAGGTGGATGGGCTGCCCAGAGCAGGACGAGTCCACTTCGCTGTCCGTCCAGCTCTCTTCGCTGGTGGAGGCTGGGCAGCCAGGGAGGGTGGCAGTGAGTGGGGACCTGAGGCCACCCCCGCTTCCATGGCAGCCACCCCTCAACCTCAGACCTGAGGGCCCGGCCCCTCCCTGCTCTGCCCTGCTCACCACAGAAGTGAATCGCCCCGGGGGAGGTCCTCTCTTTCATCCAGGCGGCTGCAGGACAAGGAGAGGAGGTTGGGGACGGGAGAGGCCTCAAGCAGGGAAGAGGGCATTTGGGTGGGACTGCGGGGACCACAGATGCCCCCTATCGCTCAGATTTCCCCATGGCCCCTCCCTCCTGCCAGCCTGGAACTGTTTCCTGGAAGGAAATTTGGGATTTCAGGGCTGGGAGGGGCCTTAAGAGGCCCAGATGCAGCCCCGTTGTTCAGACAGGAGAGTGGAAGTGGAGCCTTGTTCACCTGTGAAAGGGGGTCAGGACACCCCCTCACTCGCAAGGGTCCTAGGTGACGAAGTCTGCACAGTACCTTGCTCAGGGTCCCGTATGATAAACACCCCACCCCTCCAGCTGCCAGGTCACCAAGTACTTCCACCCCCCTGCTCTCTGCCTGGCCCCCTTCCCACCTCCCCTCCTCAGACCAAGCAGTGGGGGGCAGGGGTGTGAAGGCAGCCAGTGTCCGCCCACATCACCACCAGCACTCAGCCTGGTACTGACCACTGGCCTTGGCAGTCAGTGGCAAGGAGCCTGGGTGGGCCAGGAGTGGTCTCTGACTGGGTCATATGAGTAGGTCCTGTCCCCTCATTCATCCAGACCCGTAAGGTCAGGAGCCTTCACCCACTGAGCAAGCGCTGCCTTCAAAGCACGTGGCTCTGTGCAGGGCACACAGCAGGTGCCTGGTGAGATGAGATGGGGCTGGCATGCAGCCTTTAGGAAGAACAGGGCAGCCAAATGGATCCTGATGGGGAGCAAGATCCAGGTGCACTGCTAAGAACAGAACAACGTCCACTCTGATACTACTCATGTTTTTAGAAAGGGTAAAAGCCACCGGTCTGTATTTACTAGTATCTGCATAGACTTTTTCTAGTCAAGTCCCCAAGAAACTGGTAACAGTGGTTGCCTCTAGGGGGGATTGGAAAGCCGGGGGTCAGGAGTGGGAGGGAGAATTACTTTTTATGGTATGCTGTCACTATGGTCTTTTAAAAATAATTGTGCACATTTATTACCCCATTACTTCTTCAGTGAAAAACAACAGAAAACAAAAGAATGAAATTTTAAAAGGACAAGGAAGGACTTCATAGCATCCACAGTCCCATCAGCTGTGACATCTCATGTCCTCACAGTCTAACTTCTCCCTTCTCCCTTCCCATGTGCTCTGCCCTGAGCTCTGTGCTTGGTCAGGGCTGGGAGGGTGGGGCTGGCGACCACCCAGGCTCCCAGGAGGCAGCTGCACTTGGGGCCGGAGTCAGAGCAGAGCCCAGTGGAGAGTAACCTCCCAGCAGGCATCCTGGCCCAAGAGTCACCCTCAATGTCCCTGGCTAGGAGTCCGGGAGGGGCTGCTTCTGCCCACACCATGTCCCACCTGATTTCCAGATGTCCAGGTGGGCGTGCAGCACATCCCCGCCCAGGGGTGAGCGCTGGCGGAACTGCTCCTCCGACATGGCACACAGCTCCTTGCCCCCCAGCTCCTGGAAGGCCTTGCCCACGGGGGGCAGCCGGTACTGGTGCTCTGTCCACAGGAGCCACTTCTGCACGTTGCCTGGACTCCAGTCCACAGGGTCTGGGCAAGAGACACTCCCTCAGCTCCAGGGGCTGCTGAGGGCACTACCCGGAATGTGGCCCACTGTGCTCAGCTGGCACGCCTGTGGGAACTGGGAGCTTGTGGCCCAGGACCATGAAGTCCCAGGGGGGGCAGGCCAGGCCAGACCTTCTTGAGGGGTCCTGTTGAGGGGGTACTCAAGAAGAGAGTGGGGTGAGAGGGAGGAGCCAGGGCCCTATAAATAAACTTGGCTCAGGGCAGGGTAGCCTGGGGCCTCAGTACCTCCCACTTCATCCAGACCTTGGGTTCTCCCAGACACTTCCAGCCCCTCCAAAGGACCTTTTGGGGAGCTACAGCCCTGGAGGGGACAGTGACATTAAACTGGAAACATGTGAGCTTCTTTTCCAGCTGCTGCTTGCTTTCCCAAAGCCCCTCAGGGAACCAGAGAAAAACCCAATCAGGAATTAATCCTATAACCTCAACCCCAACCCCTACCATATTTTACAGATGAGGAAACTGAGGCACAGGAGTTCCATCTCCTTGTCCAACACTTAACAAGGGGCTGGGTACATAGTAGCTGCTCAGTGCACATGCACTGAATGAATGAATGAATGAATGAATGAATGAATGAATGAATGGCAAGTCACAGGGTGGCCAGGGGCAGCTACAGGCCTCAGAGGCTAGGTCCTAGATGTCCCCCTGGGGAGCTGCTCTGGGTGAGCCTGGCAGGGCACACAGGTGGAGCCCAGGCTGGTGGGCACCGTCACAGTGGGGTTCCAAGTGAACACTGTGGTCTAAGTTGGTGCCCCAGCTGGGTGACCGACAGGCTAGGCTGCCCCCACTTAATAAACCCATTTTCCTCTCTAGGGTCAAAGCAATTTGTTTCTGTCCCCATTGTTCAGAAGGCAGGCCCCTCCCTCTGCAGCCCAGTGTGGGAGTGAAGGCACCGTGGGAGACTTCCTGGGAGTGGGGGGGCTGGCCTGGGCATTGGGCAACTGGAAGGCTGGGGCACTGGCAGGAGCTACCTTAAGGGGGCACCAGTTGGGGGTCAGGGGCATGGCCCGATGACTGCTAGGAGGAGGGGCTGAGGGATGCCTGATGGCCCTGTGTGCGAGCCGCACAGAGTGGGATGCTCACATGCCAGGGCCCCAGGAACATGGAGATGGGGCAGGGTTGCCCTGAACTGCAGTGACGATGGAGGGGCAGGGCTGGGGACTCAGCAGCCCATCACCCACAGCATCAGCTCCATGGCCACACCTTTCAGGCCCTGGCAGACGCACTCATGCCTGGCCTCCCGATATTCCTTCCTTAGCAGAGCCCTTATCACCACGGGACCAGGGATGCATTTACCTATCTATTTATGACCTGTGTCCCTTACTATAATGTCAGCTTCATAAATGAAGAAGCTTTTGTGTTATGTTCACCGCTCAGCTCCCCAGCACCTCCCCGGGGCCTCCATATTAAGTTATTGTTTATTGAGCATCTGTTAGGTAGAAGGTGCCATCCTAGGAACTGGGGAAGTGGCGGTGAGCAAAATAAGTGAAAATCACGTCCCCTGGGTATATACGTTCCAGTAGGGGAAGAAAGATAGTGAACAAGATAAATAAATAAAATATGCAGCACATCGGATCATATGTGCTGAGAGAAATGAAGCAGACGGGACGGACAGAGTGGGCATGTGAGCAGTGACTTCCCCAGAGAGTCAGGGAGGCCGAGTTAGGTTGGGACCATTTGAGTCAAGACATGAAGGAGGTGAGGGGTAAGCGAAGTAGATATTTGGGGGAAGAGCGTTCAAGGTTGAGGGACCACCAGCAGGTGCAAAGGTCCTGAGGTGTGTACTGTGGGACAGCAAGGAGGCAGGTGTGGCTGGGGAGAAAGTAGAGGTGAGTCGGAGAGGAGGTGGTGGGCCAGATGGTGCAGAGCTTGAATTCACTTCATCGGGCACCTATCACGTGGGGACTCTGGGCTGGTGCAGCTGGGCACACAGAGGGTTGGAACCATCCCAGCCTCGGAACCATCCACAGCTCACGGCTGTGTGCGGTGGGCTGACCTTGTGTGTAGAAGCACCAGTATTGCTGAGGCTGGGCCGGGGTGACCCGAGTGCAGCAGGCTGTGTCCCCACCCCCCAGCGACCTCAGCCAGCTGCCCCCACCTTGTGGGGGTGGGCAACTGAGGGGCTCACCTGAGGCGATGTTGAGCAGCTTGCAGGCCGTCTCAATGTCCTTGAGCACCTCGCCCACCACCATGGACTGCACCTGCTCCAGCGAGTGCTCCTCCAGGCTCAGCCCCGCCGGCGCCAAGTCCAGGCTGCCCCCGGGGGCTTGGCTGTCGATGACGGGGCACTGCTCAGGCTCCTCCGGCGGCTCGTCATGAGCGCTGGGGACGGGGCCCTTGGCGGGGTAGAGCATGCTGTCGTCGGGGTAGAGCATGTCCAAGCAGGAGAGGTAGAAGGCGGGCAGGCCCTGCTCGGGCGTGGCGGGGGGGCTGGGGCTCCAGTCCCGTCTCTCGGGCCCCGCCGCCCCGGCAGTGACCTTCTCTGGGCCTGTCCGCAGCACAGTGCTGGGGGACAGAAGGAGGCGGCTGGGGGGCAGGCTGCTGAGGCTGGGGCTGGCGCTGCCCATGACGCTGCTGCTCAGGCCAGCCGCTCGGTCTGCGAAACAGGAGAGGAGGGGGTCAGGTCCGGCCGCGTCCCGTCCCCATGGGGCCGCTAAGCTGGTCACAGGGATGAGGGGCCCAATGGGCAGTGGCCGGGCCTGGGAGTGGCAGGGCTTCAGGGTCACTGGGCAGCTAGGACAAGGCTAGGAAAGACTGTGAGGTGGGAGCTGGGGTGGGATTGTGAAGGGAAACCTCCCTTCCTCCCCAGGAAGCCGGGCTGGCTGGCAGCAGCAAATATCTCCACCTGTGCTGTGCTTAAAACCACCTTTTCAGGTTCTTGACCTCCTTCAGGCCTCACGGCAGAAAGCATGACTAGTCCCATTTGACAGATGAGCAAACCAAGGCCTAGACAAGGAGCCTTTAACGTCTCTCCCTCTGTTGCTCACCTGGCCCTCACCCAGATCCCAGTCCACTGTCCTGTGGAGGAAGTTCCTTCTGAGAGCTAGCCTAAGTCTTTCCTGCTAGAGCAAAGCTTGCTTGCTTTCATTCTGCTCTTGAGGGAAGTAGGGAAGGGAGAGGGTCACCATCATCTTCATCAGCCAGGTGAAGGAAGAGAAGATCGAGTGTGGGGTGTGCTGGGGGGAGAGCCCTTCCCACAGGCCCATTGGGGGGAGGGGGGAGTAAATTCCCAGCATGAGGCTAATGAGATGGTAGCTGAATAACACACACAGGTGTGCTGGGCCCACCTCCACTCGGGACTGGCAGCCACCCCGCCTCATCTGCCCCTGAAAGGTGCTGCCCCCAGGCCCCTTTCCACCCCCAGGCCCTGGAGGTGGTGCCCATGTGCTGACCTACAGGCCCACTTTCCCCGGGCAGCAGGGTTTGGTATGAAGGCCTTGGTGCCAGGACCACCTGAGGCCCTCAGTGACTCCAACACCCACTCCTCCCTGCAGTCCCAGGGCCCCCCAGGGACAGCAAGTGGAGGCCCCTCTGCATGGGTCACCTGGGCTCTGCTGTGCCCAGGCCCTTCCTCTGAGCCCTGGACTGGAGTTTGCAGTTTGGGAGACCAGGGCCCTGGAGACAAGGGCAGACACCAAACACCGGAGCTTCTGGGATATTTCCGCAACGTGCAGGCCGAGACTCAAGAATAAAAAATAATAATAATAATAATAATAAATAATAATAAAAGAATGATCAGAGCAGAGGTGGGAGATCACCAACAAATACATGCTGCCAGTAATACAGGGAGCCATTCAGAGGGAGGAAAGGAGCACAGAAGCCTGTCAAGGGCAAACTAATGGGCCCTTTCTCAGGGGCACTGATATTTGAAAGCAGAGGTTTTCAGAGCGAGGTGCCCACCAGCAGCCTGGCATCGGCATGGCTGAGAACTGGTTAGGAAGGCGAAGTCTCAGGCCCACCTCAGAGCCCTGAATCAGAAGCTGGGGGCCGGGAGGGGGTGGGGGGCCAGCAGCGCAGGTCCACAGGCCTGTGGGTGATCCCCAAGAGACTTCCCGAGTTTGTCAGAGACTAGCTATTTAAAGGCATCTGGCGGTAAGAGGGGGAGGCTCTAATCAAGGCCGGGTAGATGCCCTGCCAGTGGAACTTATTGTGCCCCAGGGACAGCGAGGAGACTCCCTGGCCCATCTCCATTGCCCGTGGGACGGGCTGCTCTGCCTGTGCAGTGGCTCCTGCCGCTGCTGGTGGGACAGAAAAGGAACCCAATTTGGAAAACAGTCCGGCTTCCCTAAGGCCAGGGCTAGCCTGTTCCACATCTTCGTTCTACTTGGGAAATGGTGCCCTTTGCCTCTGCAGAGCACAGCGTGGAGGATGGAGCCCCGGGGACAACAGCTCTCTCTTGTCGCCCGTCTTGTGCAGTGCCCAACCTGCCCAACCTTCCTTGGCAGCCCTGCAATTTACCATGGCAGAGAGAATGCCAGCAAGAGAGAAGGGTGTTCCCTGTGACTTCCATGGTCCCTTTCAAGGGCTCCTTTAAGTGACAAGGAAGGAAAGGTCAGAATGGGGTGGGGTGGGCAGGGATGAAGGGGGGCCAGGGTTTCGGGGGACAGAGGGCAGGCCTGGAATCGGTTCAAGTCCTTCTGTGCAAACATGCGTGTGTGCCGTGGGCCCACATTATTTACCCAGGCAGCACCCACAGCCTGCTCGGCCCCTGGGTCCCCACCCCGGCCTGTGCCCTCGCCCTACTCCTAGGCGGCCCCACCCCTGAAGCTCCCCTCTCAGCTTCCACCCCTCCCTCATCGCCCCTTGCCTGCCTCCGGCCCCATCCACATCCCCAGAACTCCCATGCCTGCCACGTTAGGACAGTTTCTGCCAACACCCTGGGCCACATGCCAGGGAGACGAAGCTCTTCCAAGAAGCAGGAGCTCTTGCCTCCCTCGTGGCCCAACTGTTTGCTTGGCATCAGCTGCAGGTAGGATGGGAGGCAGCTGCTATGTTTCGGGGCCCAGTGGCATGTGGGGTCAGTGAGGATGAATGGGCAGGGCAGGTGGCGGTGTTTGCCAGGCAGGGATGTGATGACACGTTCCTGACACGTTTGTCAAATGAGCTGCATAGCTCTTGTGTCCTTCCTGTCTGGGGAGAGAGGAGCGGGGGCCTTATTATTCTCAGTCCTATTTTGTGGATGGGAAGTCGAGGTGCAGCTAAGTGACTTGGACCCAGGGCTTCTGACTCCTGGCCCAGGGTTCCTTCACCAGCAGAGAATTCCCTCCTCCTATGCACCCCACACTAGCTCCCCATCACCTTGCTCCTAAGTGCCCAGGAGCCGGCTTTCGGCCAGAGCTCGGTCCCAGCTCCGGCGCCTCCCGGAGAACAAGCTCACTGTTAAGAAACTTTGAAAGTGAGGGACACACAGGCACAGGCGTGTGCGCGGTCAGCTGCGCGCAGGAGGAAAGAGCTGATCCTTGCAGGCGAGAGGCGGTGGGGAGTGCTCTGCCCGTGGCAGCCGGGTCCGGGGGCACCTTGGTTTACTGGCCAGGGAGCCAGGAGCTTGTGTGACCAGCCTGCCATTCTGGCCTCTCCTCCAGGCTCCAGGCTCAGTGGGAAGAGAGAACTGCAGCGAGCACCTCTATGCCCACAGCATTCACGCACATTCCCCCCTTTACTACCCACAGCCTGGGTGATGTGGATGCGAGAGCCCCATTTTATAGACGCTGACAGTGAGGCTCACGAAGGTTATGCAGCTGCCCAGCTCCTGACTGGGCAACGTGATCCCCCAGAATCCATTCCCACCTCCTGAGTTCTCCACCCCAATAGCAAGCTCATTCTCTCCATCACCCTTTCACCAGGCACCCCTGTGCTCAAGAACCTCCCATGGCTCCCCATTACCTATCCTGCCTGATTCCAATGACTGGTACCCATCTGAGCCCACCTCCTACCCAACCCAGATGATCACAGCTGGGAGGGACCATATTATATGTGGTCGTGTGTTAGAAGGGTAGTGGGGAAGGGATTCATTCACTGGTTAGCGGCAGGGTCTGGTTCAGAACCAGGGATCAATGGACACATCCAGGTTCTAATGAGAAAAATGTTTCTCCCTGTCCCCTGTGCTGTGGGCAAGACATGGCTATTTTCTCTTGCTTTGCTGTCCCCTTACCCAAGATGCCCCTTACTTCTCATCACAGTTCAGCCCAAAGCCCTCCTCCCCCGGGAAGCCCTTCCCAACAACTCCCTTTTCTGACTTCCCAGCTCTCCCCATCGGTGCCAATGCAATTCAGCCCTAATTACATTTACAAGTGACTATCAGCCCATGAGGACACACACATACTGAGAAAAATAAAGCTCAAAGAGTGGCAAGGACGTGCCCATAGTCACACAGCAGAGCTAGGACCAGACTAGAGACCTGCTGACCCTCAGGCCACTGCTCCATAGGCGTAGGGTCCTGGGACAAGCCCAGAGTTTGCCAGGTCCGGGTCCCTCCCCATAGCCTCTGCTGGCTGGGCCCAAGGGGCTGCCTGTCTCCCGAGCGATGCCTCCAGCTCCCAAACCTCGAGCTGATCTTTTCTGGATTAAACCACATGTCTGGATTAAGGCTTAGGGTGTCCTGGCTCCTCCTGCCTCAGAGGCTTTGGCTCCAACTCCAGACAAAGAAACTTTGGTAACAGCTGGCGGAGGTCAAGGCCCAGAGACAGCGCCAGGGCGTGGGGCAGTGGCCAGAGGGATTGGCCCCTTCTCTCAGCACCTCCTACTCCCCCAGGAAGACAGATCAAGGGGAGAAGTCCAGGGACCCCAAATCACAGATTTACAGCAGCTCTCCCCTACTACCCCTGGGCTGCTCTCACTCTTGGGGCCAGGTATTTACCTCCAGGGTTCTCACTCCAACCCTCACCTGGTATCTGAAAAAGAGCTCTTGATTCAAATCTCTGAAACCACAGCCTTGGGAAAGTGGTGTAACCGGGGCTCTTTACTGAGGCTCTGGGCTGTCACGGGATTGGAGCCCGTCTCCCACATTCTGCTCTGCCCAGGCTCCCAGACCTTTATTTACCCCAGGAGGATTGTGGGTGGGGTTAATGTGCCCCACCTCAGTCCTGAGACCCAACCTCAGTCTGCCCAGAGCCCAGGACCCTGGCTGCAGACCCCAGTGAGAAGGGCACTGAGGGACAGTGGGTGGGGCAGAGGGTGACAGCCACCAGTGAGCACTGACTCTGCCTCACTTCAACTGGAGCAGACCTCGTCAGGCTCTCCTGCTGGGGTCCACTGCCCTGTCTGTCCGCTCTCCCTCTATCCACCTGAAGGGCCTCCTTTAATGGGTCAGAGTAGGGGGCTGCCATGGGGTGGGGGATGACAAGAACCTGGCCAGGAGCCATGTAGAGTCAGCACCTTGGAGAAGAGCTGAGCCTGCCCAGGCCACAGGGAGTCCCAGGCCAGTGCTGAAGACTGGCCCTCCCTGCCTTTGGCCCCAGACTCCCCCTCCCCACTCCTCCAGACATCTCCTGCTCACCCCGCTGCAATTCCCCTGGTCCCCTCACTTCTCCTTGGACAGCTCAGGCCCTCCCATGGAACCCCAGCTCCCTTGCCCTTTGACACTGTTCTTCAAATGAACTGGACTCAAGAAAAGCACCCGGCCCCCTCCTTACTGACCACCTTTCATGACCCAGAGTGCTGGCCTCTCTCCAGGGGACAGACCACCCTCGTACCCAGGAAGGGGTCCTGGAATGGCCACCTCCAGGCAGCTCTCCCTCGCCCAAGCACCCTGCTGTGGCCAACCCTAAGCACCTGCTGCCACCGGGGTATCCGAGGGCAAGAGAAGGAGGTGGGTTCCTGGAGGCCTTGCCTTTCTCGGGCTCAGCTTGAGATTAGAGGAGATGGGTTTCTCCTAGACCCATGGCTCTCCCCCTCTTCCTCAGATTCCAGACTCATCCAGGCCACTGACCTACTTACTCAGGAGCCCTGCTCTCTGGAAGGTTCAACTTGAGGAGCCAGCCATGGGGCCCAGGAGCTGGGGAATGGGGGAGACTTGAGGGATGGGATGAGGCCATGTAGGGACCAGAGAGTGGGTAG